GCGACAGTATTAACAGTAAATTACTAAAAAATACCGTTTCTGTCTCAAGCCAAATACTTTGCCTAATCTTCACACAATCATTACAAACAGGAAACGTCCCAGACGATTGGAAGAAAGCTCAGGTTATTCCCATCTTTAAATCAGGCAACCGCGCAATCCCAGCTAACTACCGACCTATTTCCTTAACCAGCATCCCATCTAAAATGCTCGAACATATTATAGCTTCAAACCTAATGACATATCTGGAATCCATCAAATTTTTCTTCGATCACCAACATGGTTTCCGGAAACAACTATCATGCGAAACACAACTGGCCGAATTCACACATGATATTCTTCACTTCATGGATGAAAATCTTCAAACTGACGCCATATTTTTAGATTTCTCTAAAGCATTCGACCGTGTTCCTCATAACCTCTTACTCTCTAAACTATGCAACCTTGGAATCCCTCCCAACATAATTTTCTGGATAGAAAATTTTCTAAAAAACCGTAAGCAGTTCACCAGCGCTAATGACCACGACTCACCTCTTTCCGACGTAACGTCCGGCGTCCCCCAAGGTGCCTGTCTCTCCCCGCTCCTTTTTCTAATATACATAAATGACTTACCCACCAATGTGCTAACCAAATTAAGACTTTTTGCCGATGACTGCGTTTTATACTCTCCAATCTGTACACCAGACGACAGCATTAAACTTCAACATGATTTAAATTTAATTGTAACTTGGTGTGATAAGTCACTAATGCCGTTAAACCTAACTAAGTGTAAAATTATGTCATTCACCCGCAAAAAGAGCCCAGAAAAATTTACCTATAGCATAAAGTCTGTTCCCATTAGCCCTACCCTATCATACAAATACCTCGGAGTGCATCTGTCATCGTCGCTATCCTGGTCAACCCACATTCAAATAATCTGTTCAGAAGCTTCACGCACTCTCGGATACCTGCGCCGCAACCTAAAATTAGCCTCACCAGACATTAAAAAATTAGCTTATGAAACGTACGTCCGACCGAAACTAGAATATGCTTGCTCAATTTGGCAACCCTCACAAACATATCTAACTAACGATTTAGAAAGGATTCAGAACCGCGCTGCCCGTTTTATTTACTCCCAATACTCTAACGATATCAGCGTTACTGCACTAAAAGAATCATTGAAACTGCCGTCCCTCGAATCTCGTCGTATCATTTCTCGATTGTGTCTGATGCATGCTTTCTATTATCACCCTCAATCACGGCACGTCCTCCTTCAACCATCACACAGAACTTCATCCCGCATAAACCACAGTCACCCTATCGCACCAATAAATGGACACACTTCTGCAATGATTACTTCCTTCTTTCCCAATGGGATAACACTGTGGAATAAACTACCTGATAATATAGTCACGTGTAATAACCGCCAAATTTTCCGCAGTAAGCTAAAATGTCACATGTCGCAACCTAACTGAATGTGCTGTTTTCCCTGCCAATGTTTAAATACTTTTTTTTGACTAATGTATAAACTGTCGTCACTTTTCTCTGGAAGCTTACCTTTGTACCATTACTTTTTTATTTGCATTTGGTAATATTGGCGTTTTACTTTGCATATTGTACCTTTTTTTTTTTTTTTCATTGTTCTTTGAATGTTTACGTTTTGGAACCCTTCGAGTTTTGTTGAGTTGTTCGACATACCTTGTACGCCGCCCCCCCTTATGTAATGCCTCCGGGCCTTTAAGGTGGAATAAATGAAATGAATGAAATGAAATTGTGTAGAAGGAAGGTCTTTAATTGTTCGCTGGATCGTGACTTCACCCAGAAGTCGCGGTTCTTAGTTTTGCCTGCACTAACTTGGTGACTGACTCCTGAAAAAAAGCAGAAGACATCCAGGGCAAACTGAGCGACGTAGACCAACGAGGCAATAGTGATCTCGACCGGCGGTGCTGAATAGTCGGAGTTTGCTGGCCCATGAAATAGGCTTCGATTTGACGGGGGCGCTCACCGTAGCATGGTCATCGAGCATCAAGGTGTAAACTGCGGAGACCTAGTTGGTGGTGCTGACAGTTCTGGTACTGATAGTTCCGGTACACGTGACCAGCTTCACCGCAGTGATAGCAGAGCGAATGGTTATCCGATGTGCGCCACAGGCTTGCCTTGCTAGCACTTTGTCTTGAGGCAGACAGCAGATAGGAGGGTGCGCTCGGAAACCTTGTGCCAAGGGCGGACTCGAAGCAGTGTCTTGGAATAGGTGCATAGTCTAGTACATTGTCCGCATAGCGGGACCTGTAGCCGATGGCACAGGGGATTGTGATGCCGGTGCATATGTCAGGACTGGGGCCTCAAGTATGGGTGGTGCAATAGGCACCAATAATGTGACTGCCTTCCAAAGTTCTCTGATTACATCTGCGAGAGCTGGCACGGGTGGATGGAACCCCACTGCCTGGAGCTGTCGCGATTCGTCTCGCACGATACTTCAAATGGAGTCTGCAAGGACCTGTCTCTCGCTGTCAGAGCCGACAGAGCATGCGGTGGCGGTTATGTGGCGTTCATATTGTGACTGCTGCTGCACAGTACGTTCCATCGTGGTTGCCTCACTGATGAACTCGGCGACTGCCGTCGGTGGATTGCGCATTAGTCCAGCGAAAAGCTCTTCCTTTACTCCACGCATGAAACGCTGTACCTTTTTTTTTCCGACATGGCAGTGTCCACGCGCCTGAAGACCTGAAGCATGTCCTCGACAAACATGGAAACTTTTCGTTTGGCCACTGGTTCCTGCAGGATATGGCTTCTTCAGCCCTCTCCTTTTTTTCGGCGTTGCGGTAGGCATCGCGAAGCTATTGGCTAAACTCTTGCGATGTGGCAAAGGAGCCCTTGTGGTACTCGTACCATGTCTTCGCAGGATCTTCCAAGTAGACGTAAACTCGGCGCAGCTTGCGAACATCGTCGCATTCATTGATACTGGCAACTCGATCAAAGTGGTCGAGCCAGTCATCAACATTTTTGAAGATGTCTCCATGGAACAGTTTTGTTGCCTGAGGCGCATGAAAATTATGCGCGAGAGGGCATCACTGATTTCGACCGCCTGGCTTGTTTTTGGAGCTGTCATCTTTCTATGTGTCGACGTCAAGGGACCAAATTCAGGGGGTAACAAATGCAGGCGGCGGCAGCTTCTTGCTCTGGGAGATGTAGCTGTCTTCAAGGTGCTGGGAGTAATGGTTGACACAGCCGAAGTATGCGTACCCAGTGTTTCCACCAATAATGGGGCAAGCAAAACAAGATGAACAGCCAAGGGTTGATTAGTACCCGAGCAACAAAACTGTTCTCGTCTTCTTTACAGCCAAAACGTGTATGAGCCACAGTGTGTTGTTCATCAATGGTGGCGTGTGTCAATATCTACCACTTAGCGCTGGCGGAGCCCATTTTGGGGGAAATAGCGTGTTAAGCATTACCAGCGAGATGGCGCGATGAGCGCATTCGGCATAAGGAGCCTTCACGTGCGCGAGCTGGCACGCACATGAAGGCTGGCGCGCACATGAAGGCTCCCTAGCTCGGCAACCAGCTGGTCACAATGTGCCGATGCGCGCTCATCTCACACGCATGCTTTGTGCTGTGGAGCGGGAGGGACTTATTCGTGTGCTTATTCTGTGATGGGGGAAATCGCGCACTTTCGGCTTTCACCGGAACAATGCGTTTAGTTGCTGGGCATACCACTTCGCTCGCTGCACAGGCGTCGATTGCGAAAGGATCACGCTGTTCAAACACATTCAAGTAACAACTGGGATAATTGCTGGCTCACACTCATATCTGTACTTGTGATTACGTTTTGTGCATTGTTTTCATTTAAAACAGTGCATTAATTGTGAAGCTGTGAGCATTGTTAGTTCACTCTCGTCCTGTGTGTGTTATTTTCTTGCGTCATTAGTGCGTGAACAGTGTGCTGCACGTTTCGATCTGCTTGCCGTTCTCAGCATTACATTCCAAGTTGTTGCTATCGCATTCATTGCTTTGCACTTGCGGCGAAGCTTTGACTTTTTTTTTAGAGGTTTTGTGCTTTGTGGGAACGTACTACATGGAAAGCGCACGACGCTCTTTTTCTTCCGACTATATTCTTTATACCGCATTGTCTTTATTATGCTTTATCATGATAATAAAGAAAACGAAATTTCAATGCTATATTATGAAACATCAAAATACTGTGGTGTTTGGTATGAAGTTAGTGATTAATTTTGACTACTTGCTGGATCAGCTTCAATGAAGGGGAGGAAGTGCTAGAACGCACAGTTCAGGTTGACGGCAAACGTATTTCAAGTGCGGGCCTCGGCTCTCATTTAGCTTGGCGTGATGCTGACGTATAGCACGGCGCGTTGGGCGTGCGCTGGCGCCTAGACTCCTGATGATGTCATCAATCACGGAGCACATTGAGGAGCTGGGTTGCCGTGTGCTGTCTTTGCTTTGTTTAAAGCAGCAAAACCGCATTTAAAACTGAAAACAACAGGAAAAAAGCGAAAAAATAAAGGGAAAAGTTTGAGAAATAATTACAAATAAACAGAGCAGAAGAGAAAGAAAAAAAAAGGCAAATAAGAGAAAAGGAAGAACTGAAAAGGAACAAACACTGCCCTTCTTTCAGGGTTGGCATCACTAGTGCGGATGCCCTTACTTTATTTGTGGTACTTAGCCGACCGAGTGAGCAAAAGTCTGAGAGACTGAAAAACAGTCACATGTAGGCCCAACTGTTCCTATTGCTGTCATGATCATCTGTCATTCAGTTGCAAGCCATGAAATAAAATGCCTTCAGCGGATGATCAGAATAATGCCGACGATTATGCTCGATGCGATCGTTGTGTTGTCACTTCTTTTTTTTATGGGCGTGAATTCGCCAAATAATGTTCATCATCATTACTTGTATGGGTTCGGCTACCTTCACTTGATTACCACGTGACAATTATATAGAAAACAGAGCTGATTCAATTGGTCAAGAGAGTGCATGACTTGCAGCATGGGTAAACATATTGTTTTTGCAGGGTGCAAACCCACTGATGCAAGATATGGATGGCCGTACTGCACTGCACCTGTGTGCTGCCTCTTCACATCCAGCTGCATTGGAATGTACACGTCTGCTCCTGGTGAGGGCTCAGACAGTGCTTGACTGCTGATCCGTCGGTGACAGGATGGAATCCCAACCACAACGGCTGCCTTTTTGATAAAGGGGAATATGCTTGAGGCCTGTGTTGTTAGATTTAGGTGCATGTTAGATACTACAGGGGGTAAAAACTTCTGCATTTCTCTACTATGGCGTATCTCGTGATCATCCTCGTTTGTCTTTCTCGAGAATCTAGTGGTTTGGCACGATCTCATTGCGGCGTGTCGGTCTTGGGGCGGGTGGCAGTGTCTTTGTGATCTTCTTTGATTTTTTGCAATTTTCTTATCTACTTGTACTTTGAGTACCTTATTTCTCTTTCTTTTCCTGGTCTTCCCTTTGGACGGCCTCTCTTCCCACTAATGACATGCCTATAGAGGTCTTTTTGCTCATTGATCTTTTTTTTTACAGAATACTGCGGTCCAAAGACCAAGCCAGGGGGGCATAATAAAAAGTGATTAACAATGTAACTTAAATAAAAAAAGTTCAAGCAATAAAAACATGTTAAAGCAGTAGAACACAGGATAACATTTGAACAAAGTTAAATGGCAGCAAGAAATTGCAAATTGCAACCGGAGAATGCAAATCAAATACAACGTGAGACAGTCCGAGATCTTGAGTTGTACGGTTAAAAACGGAAAGATACATAGTTATCGAAGTCAGAATTTTCATTATCACAGAATGCTTCAAAAGGTAACGCATTCCAATCATTGATCGTCCGAGGAAAGAACGAGTTCATGAAAAGATTAGTACGTGCGAAGTAAGGTTCAAGAGTGTAGCTGTGAGTATGTCGAGTTTGTCTTGAGATTCGATTTCTTATGTAAGTTTCTGGACAAATGTTAAATTTACGAAAATAAAGTGAGTGTAGAAATTTCAGCTCGGCAACAGCTCTTCGGTATTGTAAAGTAGGGATATCATTAATGGCCATGATCGTTGTTGGCGAGTCATTTCTGTGGTAGGCATTAAAGCTAAAGCGAACCGCCTTTCGCTGCACCATCTCAAGCTTCTTAACATCTTTCTTTATATGTGGATCCCAAACAACACTAGCATAATCTAACTTTGGTCTTATAAAAGCATTGTAGGCCAACAATTTGATTTCTGAGGGCGCTGTTTTTAATTTGTTTCTCAAAAAACCGAGCTTTCTAGAAGCAGATGAGCATGTTTTATTAATGTGGCTTGACCATGTTAGGTGGCTTGCAATTGTGATGCCCAAATATTTATATTCGTTCCCCTCAGTCAATGGACAGTTGTTGAGAGAATACGTATAATTAAAAGGGTGTTTCTTATTTGTAATATGCATGACAACTGATTTATCGCTATTTAATTTCATTGACCAATCTTCACACCACTTAGAAATGGCACAAAGATTGAATTGCAGGCATTTCTGGTCATTCGGGGCAGTAATCGTTTTATAATGTATGCAGTCATCTGCAAAAAGCTTTATGTGGACTTGTGATGTGTCTATTGATTTAACAATGTCATTTATATACACTAGAAAGAGAATAGGTCCAAAACACTGCCTTGAGGAACTCCTGATGATACTGGTAGAATACCAGACATGCAGTCATTTACTTTAATATACTGCTTGCGATTGTGAAGGTAAGAACGGATCCAGTCAATGAGGTTAACAGCTAGGCCTAGGATATATAATTTAGAAATGAGTTTGCTATGCGTGACAAGATCAAAGGCTTTACTAAAATCTAAAAAAATCGCATCAATTTGATTCCTCGTATCCAGCAATTACGTAAACTCATGAATTGTTGTAACTAGCTGCGTTGTGGTCGATAATTTTTTCCTAAATCCGTGCTGTAATGGCGACAGCAGGCAGGTTTTCTTCAAGAAATGTTGTGATGTAATGTGCGACTATGTGTTCTAATAGCTTATATGATGTACATGTTAAGGAAATAGGTCTGTAGTTTGCAATGTTTAAACGATCCCCTTTCTTAAACACCGGTACTACACGTGCCATGCGCCAGTCATCAGGAATGAAGGAATTTTCGAAGGAGAGGCGAAAAACGCTTGTTAAAATGTGCCCAACGGGTTCGGCATATTTACGCAAGAATGTGTTAGGGATGTTATCTGGACCAGCTCAAGATTTATTTTTCAGGTTAAGCAGCAAAGAAAATATGCCCTCATAAGTTATGAACTCGGAAGACATTACTGCAAGAAGGTTGTCATGTGGTGATTCATGTTGGGGAGCAGAAAATACGGAGCAGAAGTATCTGTTAAACTGATCAGCGACAACCGACGCATCATTTACAATGGAACCATCAACAGTTATATTGACTGGGCGTAGCATCCGTTTGTTCTAAATATCGCCATAATTTTTCAGGGCTTTTCGTCAAAAATTCATGTAATGAATGAGTGAAATACCTAATTTTTGCGTCGGAGAGTTTGGAAGCAAGACTGACTTTTAATTTAGATATCTCACTAACTGGTTTTTTATGTTTTTTGGCTCTGTTTAGCCTACGATGTAAATGAATGATTTCTCTTGTCATCCACGGGCTATTTTTGTTAGTGCGAACATATTTGGAGGGGACAAATTTTTCATTGCAATAATGAATACTCTCTTTCAGAGCATCCCAGAGAGTTGTGACGCAGCCCGGCATGTTATCACAAAATTCCCACAAACAGTCAAGTATTGCATGGTCATCGGCTTTAGCGAAATCTTTCATTAACTTTTTTTCTTGTTTTTTGTGCAACTTCGCATCACCAAGCGGAAAGGAAAGGTACACCGCCTTGTGGTCCGACACACCATCAACCACATCCACAGAGTATGTAGAAATACCATTACTAATAAAAATTAAATCTATTACTGAACGGGCACTTCCAGCTTCTCTGGTGTACTTTGTAACAGTTTGTTTTAGATCACACATAATCATAATATCCACAAGAGGGTTTATGTCCACATCGAAAAAGGAAACGGGGTCACGCCACTCAATGCACGGAATATTAAAATCACCGGCAAGTATCACCCTGTTGTTCGAAAACTGAGCCATATGATCGCACAGTTCGGAAATGTATTCAGGGGAAGCCGATAGAGGCCTATACACAGCACGCACGATAAAGACATGGCCCCAGTAGTTTACTCTGAGGAACAAACTTTCATGACCATCGATTTGGTTTATAACAACACCTGTTAACGGATACCGTAAAACAGTGGCTACGCCGCCGTCCCTACTTAACCGATCACAACGAAAAATGCTATAGTTAGGCGGTATTAAAACGGAATCACAAACGTCATTTAACCAGGTTTCCGTGATTACTGTTATGTGTGGATCATGTTCAAGAAGCAACAGTTCAAGTTCGCCAATTTTATTTACAAGGACTCCGAGCATTAAAATTTAGTATCCTTATATATTTTACCTCTGCCCGCGTTGTACGTCAACGTGTGGCGTCCCGCTGCTTTGGAAGTGCTACACGTTCATTTCTGGTATTGTCCCATACAAAGATGGTGTCATCAATTTTCAACTTATCATGCAAAAGAGATACGCGCTTCTTATTCACTCGGTCAACTTTGGCGCTATCCCAAAGAAGCTTGCGCACGCGCAGTGTTTCATGACTGTAGTCATTTTGAATGAAAATGTTTGTCCCTTTAAGTTTGTTTGTATTTTGAATGACAGCCTGCTTTTCATTTCAATCTTGAAAATAGGCTATTACTGGGCGTCGGCCGGCACGGCGGCCAAGGCAGTGAATACGGGCTATAGACTCGCGTTTAACTCCAAGTTTTTTCTCAAAAATGTCTTCAACAACACTTTTTCTTAATGATGCCTCGTTTTCTCCGCTATTTTCCAAAATGCCATAAACGATTATGTTTGACCGTTGACTGCGATCTTCAAGGTCAACAAGTTTTCTGCTTTGCAAAGCCACTGAATTTTGAAGGGATAGTGACGATGATTGAAGCGCTGTAATTATCGGCAAGCTTTCTTTTGATTCTTTCATAAGTTGCTCTAGTGATTTTAAACGTGAGTCAAGATCACGAGTGAGCTGTACACACTCGCTAAACCTATTTTTCATTTCAGTAACCTCGGCAGTGAATATCGGCCTGTCTCTTCAGTACATTCTGTAAAATATCAGCTGTGGAGGGACCCGGGTTGCTTTCAACATCGCCACAAATCGAAATTCCAAGAGCTACGTAACAGTCATAGGCAATACTCAAACAAGCGCCTGGGCACGGCAAAACCAATAAAAACAACTCATCTCCACTCCTAATTGTAGAGAATGAACAACTAACCTGCACAGCGAGAACTTCTTGGTTAGCGGCACGGTCGCAGCCGTTTCGCCGTGCCCACTGGTGAAATAGTTCTGTGGTAGTGCTTTTATACTGTCCATGATGCATGACGTCACTGACATGCGCAGATTCTGAAGAGGGGTGTTCAACATGCCTGGCGTGAATGTTGATCTTGATTGCTGCCGTGTGTCTGAGCTTGCGTTGGTCGCACTAGGGTCCAAGGCACACGTTGCACGAAGCTGGTACGCTGGCGATCGCTAACAGGAAAACCTGCACAGCGACAACGAACTTCTTGGTTAGCGGCATGGTCACAGCCGTTTTCGCCGTGCCCACTAGATTCTCCAGTTGCCGCCGTGCCCACTAGATTTTCCAATTCCGCACGTAACCACCTGTAAAGGTGGTTTCTCTGCGGTATAGCAGTCCTAAGCGGTGAAAGCACCTAATCAGTTGCCGCGAAGCCTCACTTCAAATTTAAAGGGGCCCTGCAACACTTGGAGCATGGTCAGCAAACGCTGCCGATTGGTAGTCGAGGCTACCGAGAACACATGAGCTAAATATTGTAGCTCAGCACGTGGCCTGGAATTCACAATAAATTCTCAGTCAGATAAAAATTGCTCTCTTCTTTTGGCATATGACGCCACAATGTCAAAAATCACTCGTCACGGCCATTGTACCAGCCATTGGCTGATTAGAACACAGGGCGCTCGGTTGTTACTGGGTTCCTGCGGGTGGCCGCGACATGTCCACATGTACAT